TTGTTTACTATAGACTATGTTTGTGGAAACTGAGTAGATTTACATCATGGTAGCCACTTTTATACTAAACCAAAAATCCACCTACGGACTTGCTTTTTTCACTACCTTGTTTGAAATCTAGTCCAATTTGGCATTAAAAACCTGACCCTGGCAGCCCTGCACTCAATATGCATGCTCTTAAAGGTTATGACATAACAGTTTGACATGCTATCACCATCTACTGGGCTGGCATATTCATACAGGCATTTTCAAATTGTCTCTTGGTGCTTTCATGTGGACAGAGACATTCTTCATGTAGACAGGAATTTTTTGAAAATGTGAACTACATTTCAACAATAGTCTAAAAACCATCAAAAGAACAAGCCAATTCAAACCCACGGTTCACTGAGGATAGGCTAGTACTTGGTACTAATGGGTCATTTCTGAATGCACAGCATAGTCATTTCAGGGAAGGAGAATAAAGCAGCTTCAAATGCACATTAAGAGACGAGAGTCTGGGCCACAGCAACCAATATCTGGCTAAGCACCATTAGTCAGAAAAAGAAGTAACTGTTGAAAAGAATTCCGCAGTATGATTCAGCAAGCCAGCAAGTTTGAACTTGACTTGTTGAGTCATATATATGAACAAAAGCTGCTGATGTACAAACTTCATGGTGTTATCCTCTTTCTGGCAGGTTCATAAGGTTCATAACATAAGCATGATTCTGCACATCTTCCAGGATGATCAGTGGTGTCTTTTGGGAGGCAGATGAAGTGTGGATGCCCATAAAGAACTCTACAAAACCGGAATCAAATGGTGATGATGGGCATTGTCAGAATGCATTAATACCCTGTGGTAATCATCATCAAACTAATTTGATTTGTCAAGTCTACTAGTATCGCTTTATTAGGCTCCCAGAGTTCAGCACACATTTTAGTTCCTCCCATGGTGGGCCATCGATACTCGCAGTGGCAGAGAGGAACTGGTACATAACCTTGGACGGGCTAGAGGGAGCCAGGTAGGAAGGTAGCAGCCCCTGAGATCTGATCTCCATTCGTATTTTTCAGACACATCAGTAACATGTTATAAACAGATGAGTGAGGAGGTGCATGTGAAATACAGTCATGGGTATAATGAACGTGAATATAGATGGATTATTTATGCCATCCCCAAAAATACATTAGGAAGAGAAACTAAGCACACATTGTCCAATCAAAGTACAAATGACACAAAAGGACAGATGAGTGTTTAGTGCTCTTTGATTTGTATGAAATGGTAACAACTTTTATGTTCAACACATTTAATACCATGTATAATATTTGGCTAGTCAGATGCCAAAATACTAGAAATGGACTTTAATTCATAGGCTTTCCTTTGCACTTGCCTGGTGTGTCCAAGCTACATCTGAGTATGGTTGAGCAGCAGGTGTATGACATTTTGAGTCCATTTCCATGGTAGGTTTCTGGTTTGTTGTTTGCTTTTTGCTTGGGCTTGCATGGCCTGTATGTGAGCTACTTTCTCCGATGGCCTTAGCTTACCAAGTTTTAGGTTTAGAAACAGCCTCTAACGAATGTGTGGGTTACACACATGCTCAAAAAAGCTAGTCTCCAATTATGTCATGCCTCATTATAGTAAACCAGGGGGTTTAAAGCCACTTTTTCCAGGCAGTGAAGCAGCAGAAACCGTTGTCTCACCTCCAGTCTACCACTGTCTTTGGTACTTATGGAGCTGCAGGACACATTGATCCATACTGAGAATGGAATGATGCTCACCAGAATAAGGTAATAACACCTTATCACTATTTAAGCAGGATAACTGCAGCTCACTTTGTTGATTAGGTAAGAAATGTGAGTAACAAGAACACAGCTTGGTGGATGAGTTCAGATTTTAACTAGGAACATGCTACTGGGGTTTTTAACTATAAAATCTCTTCTCTTTTAAATAAATATAAGCCCTACCGCTATGCGCTATGTTAGAATGGTCTGGCTCTAACAGTTCCTCAACCTCGGCAACATCATTCCAGTTCATAAGCTAGAGATGTGTCAACTTTTTTGAATGTCCCACTCACACTTATTTTTGTTTATATCTGTATGCGATATTCCATAATGAATTTAGCTGTTTCTATTTCCCAAAATGTAAACAAACTAGAAGCTTCATTTTAAAATGCAACCCTGATCAGACAGTTACTAAGGATGCTCGTACTAATCATATCACGCAGCATTATTCATTCATGTTTCTTTGTCCTGCGAACTTGGTGCAGGTCAGATAAAAGCCTCCTGACTATTTTGTCATGTACTGTAGGATCCCAGTCCTGAGTCTCAACCAGATGTCCTGTGAATCTTTCTTGAATAGTACACCTCCTATTCATATCATATTTGTATCTGTCTAGAACACATTATCTGTTCATTCTGAATAGTGTATTCGATTACATCCCTAATGAAGACACAACATATTCATTCAGTCAGTTTTGAAACTTTATTAGACCCTGAGTATGATCAGGACTATCTAGGAACTAATTTTCACCTTGCGTAACACAGTTGCTGGGTACTAGATAGGTGCATTAGCCTAATGTATTACATTTACCATGTTTGGGAATAACAACATAATTTCATATTAGGACTCAACACCTTTTTCTTAATCTTTATATTAGTCTAGGCTTGGCTTACTAACAACAAGTATTCTAGACGGTATTCTACTTTATTTGTTTTAATTATGGTTTTATGATCCATTATTATTATATATATGCAAATACCAGGTATTGGTGATCTGTATCTCACTGGCATCATGGCATAGCAAGCTTGTTTGTGTTCCTTGACTGGCAGCTTGTAACCTCCTGTGTGAATGGAGGCAGCCTGTCACTGAGATTTGGCTTCTACAGTTTTTTGGCAAAACCAAGGAACAGCTGTTTACGGTTCTCAGAAAGGCGGGACAGCAAGCAATAACGAGTGCCTCTCAGTATGTTGTAAATTTTTGGCCAAGTATGATTACACACACTAATTTTCAAAATTTTCCAGTATTTTCACTTGTGGTGTGGTGAAGAAGCTTTGCCAGTCAAGAGCCTGCCAAACAGACTGCACATAGCCTGTGTAGAAAAATAGCAGTACTTAATCATGTACACCAAATTTCTTTAAGTGGCATAGGGAAAACTACATCCCACTGAAGTCATCCTTAATGACAAATCCTACAACTTTAACAGTTTAACAATCTCCAGCTTATTCTGATTAATGTACAAAGCTGCTACAGCCTTGTATTGCATTAAGTTACATTTTGTGACATAATGAAATTTTATGCTAATTGACTAACATTTTCAGGTCTTTGTTCAAAATGGTGCGATTCAGTGATAAAAAGATTATGGGGCCTTAATACCCTAGCAGGAGGAAGGGAGTTGAGAAGACTGGTGGCAGATATCAGAAAGGGCAGTGTGGTGTTTATTTGATTTTCACCAAAAGGAAAAGAAAACATGAAATTACATAGCATGCACACACACCTACTGGCTCAGCAGGATGCTGTCTGTAAAATCCTTGGTATCTCAGTTCTACACCAGTTCAATTATTCCTGCTTCTCAGCCCCTAACTGCAAAACACACAGCATATAAATAGCTCAGTATTAGTCACACACAGGTGACAGCATTCATTCATTACGTTGCTTGTTCTCCAAGTTGAATCCCCCCTCAAGCTAGAGAATATATCCATCACAGCCATCCATGCCCCTGACCTATGGACCACCACTTAAACAGGTGACATTCCAGGTACCAATGGGTGATTTACACAGTGGTGTCCTGGAGCCTCTGGTATAGGGTACGGTCTATGGCCCATCCCAACAGATAGTATCGGAGGTCTGCTAACTTGATGGCCAGGCAGTCTTTCTCTATTGTCCTATAAAGGCTCTCCTTTACAGAGAGATCCCCATCAACCACAGAGGCCTAATAGGGTTCCCTGCACACACCAACAGGTGGGGGACCAGCAGTCAGAAAATATACTGGCAACCACTTTCTGGTAGTGGCTTATCGTAAAGCTGCAGATTCATGGTATCGGATCTATGCTTCCAATACCATCTAGAATAGAATATACCTTTCATTGGGTTGATCACTTTTTACTGATGGAAAGGCTTCCATTTTTCAGTGACCCTACAGACTTCCTGGTATGTACTTTCTTAGCATTATAAGGTTTCTGTCCAAATTTTGTCCATCTAAATTTTGGGAGGTGGCTGAGATTGTGAAGTGAAGTGTTGTGAAGTGTTCTGTCATTCATATTAGGTACACAGACATTGCTTCCACCTGAAAGTCCTCTGGTGATGGAATAGAGCAATCAAAGCAGTTTACCGATGTGGCTAGGAGCCCCTAGATCAAATCGTACACAGAGGAGGCATGGGCCTGATGGTCATTGTCAAGAAGGGTACTGGGAACACTGTCTTCCCTTGGCAGCTACCTGTTTGACTGAGAAGCCCTTTCAAGGACCACATGGCTCAGTCTTAGTGAGGGATAGGTCTAAAAAGGTGACAGAAATGTCACAGCAATGTCTATACCTTTCTTAATGTCCAAGCTGGGGACACCGAAACTGGCAGACAAACAACCTTAATTGCTCACACAACTGAGGAAATATAACAGCAATATCATTGCTTTGAGAAAGTGACTCCTTAACAGAGATCCTCTGACTCTTGAAAATTACATGGTAATCAAAACCAAACTCTCCTCTAAGACCAAATTCTTTTATACTCTTCACCTACTGTATGTCCCTACACTGGATCTTGCTTTGTGACAATATCTACTGTTAAAAGCACTATACAAATACAATTTAATTTCCCTTTTAAGAGAACACTGGAATGGCATCTATATGTTGTTGTCCCTCTTTGGACTACTCCTGTTAGGGGTCACCACAGCGGATCATTGGTCCGCGTATTTGATTTGGCACAGTTTTTACGCCAGATGCCCTTCCTGAAACAACCCTCCCCAATTTTATCCGGGCTTGGGACCGGCACTGAGAGAACACTGTTGCACGCAACCCCGGTGGCTCTGGGTTGGTTCCCTGGTGCGAGAATCGAACTCGGGCGATGCAGCGGTAAGAGCATTGTGGCCTAACCACTAGTCCTCCAGGAGGCCGGAATGGCATCTATATACACTGCAAAATACATGTGGAGCATGTCTCTTAAGAGCTTGTTGTCATTGTAGAGAAAGCTGTTATCTATTTTCTCTGTCTCAGATTCAAATGATATTGTCTGCGGGGTCTTGTGGCTAAAACGGCAGAAATGAAAGCAACTTCTTTCGTCGTCTTATCTGCTGTTCATTTATCCGTTTCATTAGCAGACCATGTGAACAAATTGTTTGAAACACCTCATACATGTACATAAAATAGGATTCACAGGACATTTCCGTCTGAAAACAAATGCAGCAGAAGCTGCTGTAATAAGTGTGCAACACCCTTCCTCCAGTGGAAATGATGTATGAAATCTCTACGCAAGTGGTAACTGAAGACGCATTTATTATGCCGGGTGTGAACGGCTGTGTGTCTTTGCTGTCCACTTGTGATTGGATCACTTGAGATTGGATATTAATACCAGGTTTGAACAGACCCAAAGGAACCATTGCTTAAGGGCCTTGTTGACGTACTGTTCCATAGTTGACACTACATTAACAAAACATTACCTGACAGAAGGGATGTTGTCCCAGGAATGATGAGGTGGTAATTTGGTGGGGCATGTCTTGCACTAGGTCAGTGATATGTTGATCCCCTCAGTATGCCACAGATGTCCACGTTATATCTGCAATGAAATCGGGGGCAATGGTCTCTACACTTACAGCTGAAACAACACCATCTGTGTATTGATTTGGTAACACAGAAAGACATGGTTTCAAATTTCTACTTGCACCAGTGTGAGTGTGTTTTGTTCCTGAATTAGGCTGAACCAATGGCCTGGCAAATCTTTGGATTGGCTTCACATTAGTTACACACATTGCCCAATGCAGTCACAACCCCACCTCAATCTAACTATACCAGTCTTTTGGAGTTAGGTATGTCTTTCCTAGCACAATGAGCTCAGAGCAGCTACTGAAGAGCTTCTGGGTAGTTTGTGATGGTCTGTTGATGGTCTCGATGGTCTGTTGACAATAGCATTCAGGCAGCAGGTTATCCAGCTGGTCCAGGGAATGGGAGTCATACCGACAGGCGAGTTCTGTCTGAAGTTCATCCCCTAGTCCAGGGATAATTGAGGGAGTTGCTCTCCTGACTCTTTTCCTTGTGGGGTGATTTCTGTGGCCCATTCTTTTGCTTGACCTGTGAGTAGGGGGATTAGAAATTCTGTCAGTGGAAAAGGTATAATGGTTATATAGGTTATATAATGTATAATAAACAATGCAAGAGAAAGCCAGTAATTTTTCTTGGGCATTATGATATGAGTCATTGTGCTTGCCTCTACTATGGTGGGTGATCTGGGCTCTGAAGAGCAGTCAGCTCCTGGATAATGTTGCCTAAGGGTTATGGGCAAACTCTTGACAGTGAATAGAGCAAGACCTGTATGGAAACTTGTGCATGCATTATTTGCAGTGAAAAGTAACAAACCACTAGAAAATGCATGAGATCATGTCAAACTTAGCCTGTTTTTTACATTATTATAGATCCCATAGATCAAAGGGCTTGCCATAACCTTGGCTGTTTACTCACTAATTTGCTTTCTTTGACCAGCATAGGGTTTGCAATTTCACAGTGCTCGGGAGTGTAATGAAACTGTTATGCAAAGACGTAGACTAATTTTCCTGGAAGAACAATAGACATTAAGTTATTGGTCAAGTGTAAGTTGATATATCAGGTCTTGGGTGCCCAATCTATACATTGACTCCCTTATTCTAATAAAGTGAAACCATGTGACTTCTATGGCCGATGCTCTACATAAAGGGATTTTAAAAAAGGTGTGTGATGGTGACATTTTCTATAAGGATATGTTTATTTAACATTTATGGAAGGAGTTCCCAGTGTCTGTGCTAGAGGTGAAGCTGTAACTTTAAGTTTCTGGTTATAAGAGGAATAAAATGCTTTGGCTGTCAGCAATTTGCCAGTTTTTTCCTTACGTATTCCCCCTGTACATGCATAAATGTCACTAATTGACTATTAGAGACCATCCTACGTAAATACATCTCTCTCTCTCTCTTTAAAAAAAAAAAAAAAAAAAAGGCTGACCAGTGGGTTTCTGCAGGGAAGTGGAACGAATCCTGCTCTGGAGATTTGACAAGGATGAAATCTCAGTGCACAAATGCCGATAGGCGACTACCTGTGGCTGTGTAACGAGATTGTAGATTGCAGGTTGTGATTCTCTGTTGTGAAACCTGGAGACAATGTATTGAGTGTAAGCCCCCTCTGCCCTCCCCCCTATGCTCGCTCTCGCTCATTTTCTCTGTCTGTCTCTCTCTCTCACACACACACATACACACACACTGGTGAAGCAGGAGCTCAGCAGTGGGATGGATTCTGACTACTAAAGAGACGGAGTGAGAGGGAGGGGGAAAGAGCCAGTGAGCTCTGAGCTTGCACAAGAGAGGGAAAGGATTGAGGCACTGGTGTGCAAATCCACATGAGCAGATCTGGAGGAAAACGCTGGCTGCTTCGGGTGAGACCTTGAGTGTGGCTTTTCTCAGCATCCAGAGGTAGCCCTCGGTGCTCGTCGTAGATCCCGGAGGAACGAGGCGACAAAGACTTGACTGACATGCGCAAGAGGTTGACTAGGGGAGGTCTATGACACTTCATTTGCATCTGTGTAGAGGAGTGTGAGGAAGATCCAGGGAAGAAAAATGAACGTCAGACAACAGCTTCTTTTTTAATGATTTTTTCCATTCATAAACCCAACAAGGCGATGTAGAGCCAGTCCTCCTGGCTGGATGAGGCACAGTCCAGTCAGCTGCTGAATGTTTCTGTTGTGGCTCCTTATTTCTTGTCTATCTGCACTTTTCAATGTGCAACGTGAACATTTCACAGGCTTGGGTTCTTCTTGAATAGACAGCACATTTCAAAGAAGAACAGAAGCGCAGCTTGTGATCTAAGGTGGACTTTGGATCATGTGCAATATTTTTTGATACTATTGACTTTGCAAATTATTCCAATTTCTCTTCCAACGTCTGACTAGGAACTGACTTGCCATGACAGCCATGAAGGGAGATTCGGAGGACAGCATCGAGAGCATCAGGCCTTCAAATCTGCAAGCCTTTGCCAACTCGTCCACGCTGCACGGCATGAGCCACATTTTTGCCTATGGACACATGACATTCCGTCGCTTCTTGTGGACTCTCTCGTTTCTGGGCTCTCTCGGTCTGTTGCTTCTGGTATGCATGGACCGCGTGTCATACTACCTTGAGTTTCCTCACATCACCAAACTGGACGAGGTGGCAGCACCAAACCTCACGTTTCCTGCTGTGACTTTTTGCAATCTCAACGAGTTCCGCTTTTCCAAGATCACCAAAAACGATCTCTATCATGTAGGGGAACTGCTTGCCCTGCTCAACGAGAACTACCAGATTGCGAACCCACATCTTGCAGAGCCAGAAATCCTTGCTGCTCTGAAAGAAAAGGCCAATTTTGTCAACTTCAAGCCCAAGCAGTTCAACATGACTGATTTCTATAACCGAACGGGCCATGACATCAGTGACATGCTTCTACAGTGCACTTTCCGAGGCGACATTTGCTTCCCTTTCAACTTCACCACAGTGAGTTGTCAGAGCTCAGCATGTTTTTTTTTTTATTATTATTTACAGTGTGTCAAATGCAAATGGGTAAACCTCCTTTTGCTGTCATATGAGCTATCAGTTTTTATTTAAATCGTAGTAAAAAGATGACAGCTGCTCTGAGTGTCCTTGATCCTGAAAAATTTAGTTACTGTTATGGTTATAAAATTCCTGTTCAAGTTTATTTAAAATGCACAAATTAAGATATTTATTGTACATTCAAGAGAGACTCCTACCTCAAACTAGTAAGTTTAAAATAAATCGGACAATACAAGTCAATACAATTCAAATAAGTATACATATTATTTTAAGAACCGATGTCTTGTGGTGGGATGCAACAGTTGTATGAATTTCTTCCTGTTCTGTAAGGAGTAGTAACAGTTCAGTGGAGAAGGTAAAAATACATCCTGTACAATCCTGTCAAATTTATCCCATCTGAGCTAGAACTATATAAATAAAAGTTCATAGCCAGTAAACATGCACAAATACAGTTCACTTTTTTAATATATACATGTTGTGATTTTTTTTTTTTTTTTTTTAATTACATTGGGTTTGGTAAAAATGAAAACAAAGACAACACCGGAAACAGTTGATTCATATTAAATGAATGAATGCTGAATGAAGTTCTAGCAAGCACTAATCGTGTACTTACATACGCAAGTGTGTTTGCTTCTGAACATTGGGTCTGTATGGTTAAACTTGAGGGTATTTTTGGGCATGATGCTTCTTCAGTTCCTGATTATTTCAGTGGTTTTTTTTTTTTTTTTTTTTTTGGTTTAAATATTGTCTTTATATGGATGCGTATGTTGATTAGCACATCAGGTGAAGTAGGTCATTTGGCCATCACCTACAGAACATTAACACTGTCAAATTCTCGATTCTGATTAGTCAGAAGGTGTTGATTAAATTTATAGAAAAGTCACACCTTATATACACATATTATGTATCTTTTCTATAGTAACAGCTCATTCAGAGGGACTTGGATGGCAGACACTATACTTACGTATTAATAAAGTGCGTAATTGTTGATAATGTTGAAGTTTTCTTTGTGAAGTTATTTTATTTAGTATTCTTTTGTAAGGAGTCTCCAGTGTCAGCACTTTGTAACAGTACAATTTAAAATCTTCTGACACAAGAAAGGACAAAGGGATTTGCGTTTTCCGATTGCTTGGTAACTCAACAAGCTGTCTTATTAATGTCAAGAGAGTGGGGGGGAAAGATGTTTAAGTGATAAAAGGAACTAACTTGTTCCATGGACATTTCACACAACATTAAATGTAACTATAAATGGATAAAAAGTACAATTATACTTCAGGACGTACTGTTAATTGTGGAAACTTCTGGGTGGTAATAATAACACTTAATCACACCACCCTGTTGGTCATTATTTT